AGAGGGAGGTCTGGGGATTAGACCCCACCTTCTCATGCGGCGAACAGCCCGGCGCATGAATCGAGGCCTGCGTCTGCGATGTGGGGAGCTGGTGGCATCCTGACGGAGGAGCTGGAGAATTCCCCTCAGAGAAAGAGACGAGGTCTGACATGGAGGAAGAGGAGTGAAGAGCTAATCAGTTAAAACACCTTCTAAAACTCTTGATAATTATGTAATCATAACAACAAGGTAATAAAAATCACTTAAAAGTTTTATAAGAAACTCCTCCAAGTTTAAGGATCGTGTGGGCTGCTTGGGTACATCCCATCAGACAGAGCCTGCTTTGTTTTACACAGTTAATCCCTCCGCCTCCGTCTTCGCCGGCTAATAATAAAGAACCTCAGTGTGACCCTGCATGGTAACAGCACAGTAGTTTGTCCCAACACTCTTCCTACTTCAGCCTACAGCCTGCTGCGAAGTAATAAGGCTGCCAAAGTAAAGCACGACATTAAGACAGATGACACAATGGCTGCTATAGATTACAGCAATGTGGCTGAAGAGAGAGGAGAATGAGCAACTCAGCAGTGTAGTCTTTTTCCCCATGAATGAATTTAGTCTCAGTGCTCCCAGTTTTCAATTCGTAAGGGACCTAGGGTCTTCTTTCAGACTTTAGAACCTTAAATTAATTTGTCAAGGTGCTCAAGGCGAGGTGTAAGGACTTAACATGGCTTACATTAGTAGTTTGATTTCTGGTGTGGTGTTCGTTAACTTTACTGGTGAATGCTTTAAAGCGCCAACAAAAAAAAAAAAGGCTGTGTCAAGGTTAAAAAGTGGGCACTGGGGTCAAGGATGCAGGACTGAAGTTTACCTTGCAGGTGTACACTGTACCGTATTTACCTGAACACAGAACAACCCTGACATCTTCTTTGGCTTTTAACATTTCTTAGTTCCTTTTTGTAACATTCTATAACAATCGTAATTCTTAGCCACCAGAAACTCCTGTCGGTTAAACTAGACTTCTTTTTAAAAAATAAATAAATAAATATATCATGGTATTATAATTGCGATGTGTACTAATAATACCATAAAAATATGGACAGAAAGAGATGGGTAAAAAGCTCATATTCATCCTGTCACCAGTTTCTAGTTCTCCTCTCCCACCTCATTGGGGTTCTCTGTAGGGAAGTCCTCCACTGGGGGAATGATGCCCTGGGCAATGAGCTGACCGTAGGACGGAGGAGCCTGCTGCTGGATCAGCTCCGCTTCCTGGCGGCTGATCGGAGCAAACATACTACAGGAGAACAGACATGCAAAGATGTTACGGACTGCCAACATGTTGTGTATTTTGTTGTGAAGGTTCTTAACAGTACACTCCTGTATTACATAGTTATCTTAGATACCTTTTACAGTAACTTCTCTTCAAGAATTGTTACAATCCTCACACCACAGTTTTGTTATTGTCATTATCTTAAAATGGAATTTTTCAAACTTTACACATGACATGACCTACTTTGGGTGAGACAAATTGCACATGGGAAGCTCAGAGTTAACAACAGCAACCTGGCTATAAATGATCTTCTTAAGAATAACAGTACTCCAAGTATGAGGTGTACTGGCTGTGTTGTGGGAGGATCTGCTGTGTGTTTCAGAGGTAGTGTCTGGTAGTGCTGGCAGCAACTGAATCTAGTGAAGTGTGTATCTTGTGACTCACCATCTAAGATTGTCAACACTAAAACTGAGACAGCCATAAAAAAAACAAAACCCCATTGTGCTAAAGACCAAATCTATGCTTACTTACCTGTACTCCCTGGTCCTGAGTGAGTACAGTTTACAGGTGCAGCCCATGGCGATGACCAGCAGGAGCCCACAGACCAGGCTGCCCATTGTTGCCGCGGTGATGACCTTGCGGGGCAGGATGACGGTGCAGTTGAGCTCATCGGTACCATCCTTACAGTCCACCTGGCCATCACAGCGCCAGCTCTCAAACACACACCTGCAGATGGGACAATGGACCATTTGTGTGTTAGAGTGTGTCGGACTAATATGAATGAAAGGCATGAAAATGCACCCAGGTCCTTGTGTGATGACCCGTAAGAAAATGACATGGTTGTCATTGCACATGATGAGATACTGTAATAGAGTATTTGACTGATTAACCAGTATACATGAATTCTTTTATTAGCTAATGGTTGTGACTGTAAATGCACAAAAAAACTGAACAATTCGCTATGAATTTTATTCAACTCTCATTCACAACAGTGCTGTGCCTCCTGAGCCGAGATGACATCTGTTTTAGTCTGCACACACACTTTTACATTATAACCAACACACTGATACTTAATACGATGAAGACGCAAACCATCTGACAAAACAATTAATATAAAGACAAAACAATCAATATAAGAACAAAACAACAGCTGAACTAAACGAAGCTTGAAGAAAGAATGAAGTGTCAAGCTCAGAATGGAGCAGAAGCCAGAGAGCTGTTGAATCATGAGATGTTTTGTAGATCTAGAGTCTAAGAATAAATAAATGAACAACAATGAAAATGAGTCACCAGGGAGACAAACAGGCTTTCAGTCACACACACACTGACCTGTCACTGTCACAGTGAAAGGTCCCAGGCTGGCACACAGTGCAGTCCCTCTCGTCGCTACCATCGGCACAGTACAGCTGGTAGTTGCATCTCTCAGTCATTGGGTAACATATCGGCCTGCCAGGGAAGTGGCTGGATGCTGCTGCTCTCTGTCCTGCGACTCCGCAGGCAAACTGGTTTGGACTGCAGCCCCTGCATGCCTCCTCATCCTTCCCAGTCTCAGGACAGTCCCATTTCCCGTCACAGCGTTGCTCCTGGTTAAAGCAACCTCCTGCTGCTCCCCCACATCGACCTTCCCACGGAGGGCAGTAGCTCCCGACATGGAACGTGGCATTGAAGCCACTCCCCACTGAGTCAGGAAGTGTCTCATATGCCAGTGACAGAAGGCCAGTATGAGATTCAACTTGGACTAATTTGTAGTTGGAAGTGCTGGTTATCTGAGAAAAATGCAGGAAAAGGACATTGTGTGACCAACTGTTCTTTAATAACACTTTTGTTTTATAAAAGAGAGAATATGCAGGCCCTAAACAACATCTGGATACATTTCTCAGTTAAAGACACTCACAACTTTGATAATGTCTCCTTTGCCTTGTTCTCTGTTGTAGACGGTGAGTCTGTCCCCAGGGCCCAGTAGCAGCTGTTGCAGGTCCAGTCTGAGTGGCCTGGAGTCCTGAGGGTCCAGAGTCCAGACACAGTACAGCGCAGTACCCCGAGTGGCTGGAGGGGAGAAGGTCCCATAAAAGGTCTGGAGGAGCCCTCCACAGGGCCACTCAACAGGAGCGGGTGTGACAAGAAGTTCTTTAGGATTCTGAGGCTTCTCCTCATGGGCTTCCTCCTCAGCACTCCCCTTCAACAGCTCGAACAGGTCACGGTCATAATTCCAATCGACCAGCCTATCTGACATCTGAGTTTTGTCTGTGGCCTTAGGACTCTCCAAGTCCCTGTCATGGTTTCTCTCTCTATACGTCTCCCCTATGGTCTTTTCTACCTGTGTGCTTGCATCCTCTGGGGCTTCTGTGGTTTCCGCTTCAGCACTGCAATCCTGTTCATCAGTGCCGAAGCCAGGACCTTCACTGAGACACTCCACCTGACCATTACAGCGCCAGGAGAGGGGAAGGCACCGGCCTCCCGGGCATTCAAAGGATGTCACTGGGCATTCACCAGTGTCTGGAAGAACAGAAAATTAAGAAAAGAGATTAAAAAAAAAATTCATTCTTTTTGACAAGAGGAACTGGAGCAAATATTCATTTGTTTCATGCTTAAAACAAAACACGGCACAACAATAATGCCATCATACCTCTGGCATAGCTCAACAAAAACGATGACACAGGGAACAGATGTGGGAGGAAGTGGTGCATCACTGTGATATTTCCCCCTGGGAACTCCACAGGCTGTGGCAGCTTGGAGCCACAAAGGACAACTGGCTCACCCCCGGCCGATGATTTTATAGAGACCCATTCTTTCTTACACCGTGCAGAAAACTGGGAAAAGCTAAGAAAGGATTTTAAATAAGAAACAATGGGGGTTGACAATGGGTGGCATATCAGTGAACAGAAAACCCACACTTAAAGAGACAAACTGTCGGAAACTGTGCCCATATTGTTTTATTTTTCTATTACTTAAGAACGTGAGAACGTTTCTTGATCTGTCCAGTATTTAATTTGCTGGATTAGGTGAAAACAAACCTTGCTTTGTAATGATTTTACCCTTAAACTGTTTCCTACTCTATTTTCCAGAAGATACTATATAATGATACAATATCACAACAGATCACTTTTACCTTCACTGGAGATTTCATTCATACTGCCCATTAACATTACACCCTAACCACAGAAAATGATTAGGCAAGTTCATGTACCCTAAAAATATTTAGATGCTATTTTATGGCATTTTAAATACATCTATAAATATCTCAGGGGTAATCTGACATAAATAAGTGGGAGAAAATTATTTAACTTCTTTGAACTCTGATGCACCAGGTGCACAGGATTCTGCTTTCAAATTGCCTCAGCACTTGTACCTGAGAACGATAGGTTCTCCCTCCGAACCCTTGATGATCCAGCAGTCGTAGGTAGGGCCGAAGCGGTAGGACCAGCTGGAGTAGGCAGAACTCCTGATCTCACCCACTTTGCTGTCTAAGACTTGAAAGGAATGACCACAGCGAGCTGAGAAACAGCAAGACAAAAGCTCAGTGGAGCAGAAATTAAAGTGGTTCCCATTTTTAACCTTTAAGTGTTCATTTTTGGTGAAAAATCTGTGGTGTCAGCAGCCTGATTATTTCTGCTTGAACCTTAATTTCATTACACCATTTCAGCATAATGTTATCACACTACAGTTGAAAAGTAGGTGCAATGTGGCACAAAACGTGAAGGAACTGAAAGCACTGTTCAATATGACCTGCCTAAGCTCACATCTCCTGTTACCAGAAACAATGTGTTCCATTCACAGACACAACATGAAATAAAGGATTGGCTAGTTTGTCTCCTTACCAGCACAGAGGGAGAGCTCAAAATGGCTGCACACTGCACATGGATAAAGCAAAGACAGAGCAAGTCAGGCAGGTGCTTCATCACCAGAAATATTATATGCCACAAAAAAAGTGCAAATGTGATTTACTGTTGATACACTCAACATAAAATAGGGACCATACAATCATATGTATTCACTCACCTGTTATGGTGAAAACCAGGAGGGCACAGAGGTTGTAAGTGACCATCATTGCGGTGATGCTTCTCTTCTAAAATGTTAAAATGTTGTTGTTTTTTTTAAAGACTAAAGAGGAAGAAAGTGTCAGAGAAGCGCCATCTTAACATTAGTAGTTCAGGAAGACGTCGCCTGTAGAATGAAAAGACAAGATGAATTACACCACTAGTCTAACAATAAAAGAAGCCACCTAACACAAATATGAAAACATTTGGTTGATACAAGCCTCATTTTTTACAAACTAGTTATAGCTATGATTAAGGCTGAAACAATTACTGGCTAGAAAACCAATGTCAGATATTCTGATAACTTATAATCTGAATCTTTTTAGCTTTACTGTGAAAAATGCTAAAAAGTCTATGGTCCCAGCTTTTCAAATGTGGCAACTTGCTGCTTTCCTTTTATTGTAAATAAAGACAAAAAAAGAAGACACAAAGGTTGGTTTTCACAATTTGTGATGAACATTTCCACATTTTTACTGACATTTCAGTTATAATAATAACAACAATACTTTTAACCCATTACAACAGTTGGTTTTAAGAAGAAACCAACAAAAACCACAATAGCATCTCCCCACCACCCACTTCATCCCTAAAGAAACAGAACACATACAATATAATACTATACACATAAATATCACAAATTTATGTTAAACTCAAAAGGTTTGAGAATCAATTAGCCATTCTTTACCCATTTTAGTTGTATAATATTAGTCTTTTGCATCTTATTTCCTTATCTAACTCGTAAATCTTCATGTTCATACTTTTGGTGCAGCTGATTTCAGTTGAAAGGCAGTTTATTTTGTTTATCTGCTTCCACTTTAAACATTTTACAAAGACATCCTTATTAAATTGATATTAAAAACCTGAGTCTTGTAGCCCATAACAAATGTAGCACAGCAGCCATAACTGTACGTCTTTTGATTCAATACTGCTTAATAGCCAGACAGGAAAACGACATAAGGATATGGAGAGTGGGGCCTTTTGAATGGCGAGGTTATTTTGATCCCTACCACGGTTATTTACACACATACACAATAAACACACTCAGCGATTTCCTTCCCATAATCTCTTCAACAATGACACGGACGTCGCTAGCATTTCCGAGAATAAACCCTCACCAAGCAAACAGTTCAAAGTCTCTCTATTATTCCCAGGAAAGTAAAACGATTAGATATCAAGGTCAGGTAGGCTAACAGCTAATCTTGTTCCCGATAAGATTTGTCAATGTCCTGTGGCAATGTTAAGAAATAGTTTCGGTTTGAAAGAGGCGGAGAAACAGCTGCTCACCTTCTTTAGCCATAAGATCATGAATAGCTATTGCTAGCGTCCTAGCGAGCTAACTGCTAACATCCTCACTTCTCTCTTCGTTTAGTCGCTGTTTCCAGGTGGCAACGCCACTAATAAGAGGTTCCGACTATTACACTTAGGATTTTAATACCAAGAAAACCAAAACACATAAGCCAGAAGTAAAAACTACATATTAAAATGATTAAAAGAACAAGAGCTCAGTGCGTTACCATGTCAATCGGCCTCTCCTGTTGACAAGTTCTAAGCTACTTCCGTATATTTCCGTTCGTGACGATAGGGGGCGGGGCTTGTCAGGTTAAAATGTTTTATTTCTTTCATTCATAAATCTTCACATATTTTCTTCAAGTCAAAATGTCTCAATTAATTCTATTCTCATTTAAAGCACAGTAATTTCACATATTTATATAGGCAGCGACTAACGTCTGAGAAGAATTTAAAAGGTAAAATGTTTAAGCCTAAGTCCTAACACAAGGTGTCAGTCAACATCCGTTTTTATTCATAAAAACAGTGGGACCTTCAGTGCCCTTATTAAAGACTAAAATAACAAAGTACATTTACTCAAGTACTGTGCCTATTTATTTTAAATACAATATTTTCATTTTATACTTTTTATATAGAAATAATCGTACATATAATACATATTTCTATTATATATGTTACTTTTATTATATGCTGCTAAATTTAGCTACTTCTGTACTTGAGTAAAATTTTGAATGCACGACTTTTACATGCACTATATCCCTACTATTGTACTGCGATTTTGCAATTTTTCTTATGTAGGCTACATCTTTCACCACTGGCAGGATAGCTGTATCTGTGTATCATTAACACTGATAAACTTCGCCAGCTGTCGCCAGGAAGCCATGAAAAAAACGACTTCTGCACATCTGGAGGAGGACCCAGAGGAAAATCATCTCTCTCTCTCCCCCTCTAACCACGTCCACACTCTCTTCAGCAATCCCATCAAAGGAAAAGGAAGCCAAACTATGAAGCTGTAGTAGCATTTGTCACATCCTCCTGATGATTTTAGCGTTTTCCTCGTTTTATACTCAACCTTTGGGGCAGAAAAGCAGCACGTGTCCATGCGGATACGAGGTTTTCTGCCACGTTTTAAAAGCATAACGAAGTAGCGTTGATAGACTTTTTGATTTTTTTCCTTCCGTCGTTTTCTATCAGGACGGCGGGACTCGTGTACAGATTTAGCTTCCTGAACTTGTCTTTTTTGGGGAGGTAGTGTGCAGACACCAAAATGCTGACCCATCTCCTCACCCTGGCCTGTGGTCTCTGCTGCTTTGGGTTTACCTCCGTCAGTGCTAATGTACTAAAAGCCGAGGTAAGTGGCATGAAAAAACGCAATTCGTGTACTTTAAACAGTACACAATACTATATACAGGACTTTCTGTAGATATGCAGTGTATCACACGGGTTATAATATGGGAACAATGTGTATTTCATATTTTCTGCACTCTCAAATCTTGTCCTTCACTGGCTGCCATTAATTAAGTTATCTACAATATTCCTGAGGGATAGCAGTAGCAACACACCTCCTATAATAATCTTAGTTTACTGTATTGTAACCTTCATAAGAGGATTGGTGTTTTACTGATACATGCAGTGCCTTTCTAGTGCTTGCAACAGTGCTTCTGTATATTCCCAACATGTTCATTGTCCCTCCCTCGAACACTCTTGACCTTAGTTTTCCTGGAACTGCTTAAGAGTCCATCTCAGTAGAAATGATAGCAAAAGTTGAAACTTCATCAAGAGAAAAAAAAATGTCATGAGTCTAAAGTGTTGTGAAACGAGAGAGTGAGATCCAGCCCTGCAGGGCCAGTGGTCAGTTTAAAAAACCTCTGCCAAGCTACTTTGTTCTGAGAAAAAAAATAGAGGTAGTGGTGTTGCGACGGGGGAGGGGGTTAATGGCTTTCATTTGTCTGTGTAGACTGTAAAGATAGTGGGGCAGGAAGCTGGTCTGCATTCACAACAAGCTGAACAAGAGCTTGCCGGGAGACTTTAGGCCTCGGGCTGTGAAACCTGGTCTGGAGACACAAAAGTGCAGATTAGCTCTCACCTAAACAACATGTGCTATCATTAGGTTCCATGCAGCTTTGTAAATGATCGGGTATGAGCAACACTGGGCACCTCTAGTCTCAGGCCATTTTGCACTAAGAGATGCTCATCATCCTCCAAACATCCTGTTCACCTTATCAAGCAGTGGGCAAAACGTCATTGAGAAATAAAGGATGTTTGAAGTGAGCGTACATGACCAGTGTTAGTCACTTTCAGTCACACTGTCACATACTGTAAAAGGCAGGGTGCACCACTAATACTGGAATTTCCCCACTTTGGGATCAATATAGTTCTACCCTACCCTAATAGGGTAGGGTAGAACTATATTGACAGGAATTTGATTCACAGAATAAAAAGTCCAGTAGCTATAAATATTGACCAAAAAAAAGCACCTATGACATACAAGAGTCTGTGTTAGGAGGATACAGGATGCATGAAAGAGCGAATGAGGACCTTACTCACTGACCGCAAGTTGGTGGTGTGTGAGTCAACCCAGACATTGTAGAGTCAGACAGTTTATAAGAGGCTGCAGGCAGCTGCCCTACTGTGGCGAGCGCACCAGTGCAGTGATGAATGTCTGTAAACAAAGTGAGAAAATACAACAGTTTACTGCAGTTAAAACTGCTTCTTTTGTTACATTACATAGCCTTATACTGGTTTACTGTTTGGACACTGAGAGTCGATGTACCACAGTCAAATTCCTCGTGTGTCCGTCACACCTGGCCAATAAAGCAGATTCTGATTCAGTGTCATCTTTAGCAGCTGTAGGACAACATTTCCATCACTACTGTACCAGTATATCAGTTTAACCCTCAGTGCAAGATTCAGTCTGAAACATATAAGATGGACAATTACTGTCTTGTCTGCTGATACAGATTACGTACAGTTTTATCCACAGTAAGGTGGTGCTGTGATGGAGTCAGACATAACTGTCAGTCCTGATGCAAAAAGAGGATAAACTTTAATTATGGTTTCGGGATTGCATCACCTGAGTGCTTAAGTGAGCCCTGTGATCAAAAGATAGACCTGTCTGTGTGTGGAGAAAGTAGATTCAAGTGGAACAGCAAAGAGAGAAAAAACAGACAAAATAACAGCTTTAACTAGACAGGACTCAGAGAGCTCAAACCTCCACCAAGGTAATGCCATTACACCAAAAAGCAATATTCCCGTGACAGTTTGACCCTCATATTATGATTCATTGACCATGAAAACCTACCCCTAGCATCTGGAATCACATTGATACCATTAGTTTCAGGATCTAGTTTAGGAACTTTTGAAGATACAATATGTCAAGTCTGTCAACAACCTGCTGAATCAGCAGTCTCAGCTTGTTGTAAGCCTTTAGCATTATTTATTGTCAGTAGCAGTAGTGAATTTCCCATTAGCCCTATATATTTGAACATTCTGGATCACCACATCTGGAATATTACTTGAATCCAGATCAGACTTTGGCGTGTGGCAGCTCTTATGTGGATTTTATCGTGCTATTTTAGTCTAAGCATTGTGGCCAATATTCATAGAGTTAGAAGCAAAAACACTGATCCTGGATCCAGAAGATGATTCAGATCAGGACCAAAATCTAATGGATTATTTCATGGGTCATTAACTACCAAACCAACAATGCAGATAAAAAAGATAACTCAGCTTTAAATAAGTAATAAATAAAACCAAATGTTTAATTAAAGTGGATGACGCTCTCATTTAAGGGGTTGGGAGGATCAAGAAAGCAGAACTCAGAGAAACTGACGTTACAGGAATGTTGTGGTTTATCAGTGTTGCTCAACATCTGAACGTCCCTCTTTGATTTCACTTGGACATACTAAAGCCACTTAATCCAAGCAGAGTGAAAAGAGGAGCTCCACAATGAATCTGGTTCTGGTGACACTGAGTTCTTTTGTGCCCTCTAGCATCTGTTTTCATTCACTGTTTTTTTTCTTTTTACATTGTGAAACCTTTCCTTACTTTAATAAAATGCTGAGTTGGACCTTGTGAGGAAAGGAAGCGGGCAGCAATGAAAACAACAGGGTCTGAAACAGGATCTCTACATATCTGGCTGAAAAGATTCAGGCGATTTCCCGTTGCCATCTGGAGACACATGTCTCGTGAGCCCAGAGGACGGTTTCACATCTGGTCAGAATACATCTGGTTTCACTTCGCTTTATCTTGACTAGAGCTGCCGTTGATGCAGCATCAAAGAAAAGTCTTGTTCACGATCTGGTGCACGGTGCTCTGACAGGCAGCCACTGTCACTTAAGAGATGTCAAAATAATCAGCTGGATCGGCCTTAATAATGAGAAACCGATGGACTTCATAGGAAAGAGGGAACGTATCTTGGCCCTGCAGCTAAGGAAACGGTCCACTCTGGTATAACACGAGACACCAAAGGGAGAAAGTTTCCACCATGATGTTTGCCAGTGTAGAGCAGTGAAAGATAGATCTGTTTTTATCAAAATTGACATTGACTTGTTTTTGCAACATGGGCTCAACTGATTACATCTGACAAAAGCTGGAAGCCAGATGCGCTGAAACAAAATTGAACCCAATGACATGTACAACTTTCTAAAATACTGTAGTTCAAAGTAGCTACATTTGCAGTACTTATAATTGCATTAATGTAATTAAGTACAATTTTAAGGGAGTGATATTTTCATTTTATACTACTTTACACTTCTATCAGTATATAAAGTGGCTACAGCCTTTTATCAGCAAATGGAGATGGCTCAGTTCTCATGACACAGCAAAGTTGTACTTATAGCGATAGAGTTACTGCACCAAATGGGCCAACTACAACATTAAAATTAACCAATATATAACCATGTTAATGCATCTTTAATTATCTAAAATTGTGATTTATAATGGAATGACAATGACATCCCTACCACTACTAAAAACTACAAGACAAAGGCTTAAAAGGTTGCATGAACTGCTGGTGCAAGTAAAGTCAAATTTGCTTTCACTGACTTTACAATCAAGACACCCTTTGTCATTAGACACGAAAATAAGAAGTACTGAGCAATACCACAAGGTTGGCATACTCAATTACAAATTAAAGTCCTGAATTCACCTTTGTTTCAAATTGTAAGTGCCCAGTTTAAGTGTAACTGATTTGAAAGTAGTATCTGTCATCTTAATGCTGTAACTAAGGTGGAGCTAATTTCTTAAACACAGTTGGGAAGTTTATTCTGTAACAGTACATCATAGTGTAATAATTTCCTCTAAACTATAGTATAACATTAAATGCAAATACTGAAGTAAAGTACCTCACAACTTCGATTTGCATGCAATCTTAGTCCTATGGTGCAATGAATATTTTTCTGTAGGGGTCATGCATCATAAGGCTTGACTAAGCAGAATAAAACCCTCCAGTAACGATGCTATTTGACCTGTTTGACCCAGTGGAAATGTAAATGCAGCTGAGTGTGAGTGCTAACTGGGTCAGACACCAAGAAATGAAGCCGATGTGAGATTCAGCCACTTGTGAGCTGAAATCTCTGTTTTTTCCGTTGGCACCAAACAAGAGGAATAACTGACTCAGTCCCTCAGATCTAAATTGAACCATACTCCTAACCCCCTCTAACTCCCTGCCTTTTATTTTTTTTTTTACAGTTCTTCCTTCTAATCCCTTTACCTCTCCTGCGCTAATGTAACTCTGCACGTCAGATCATCCTCTGCTGTCCTTAAACCTCCTGTCTGCCCTTTTCTTCCCTCAGTCCTGGATGAGATTTTAAAGCCTGGAAATAAAGTATCTGGCTAGGGGGAATAACAGTGGAGGTTTTCCAAGAGGCAGCTTGAGACAAATGGTGTTTTGACACTTGGCAGCATTGTTATACACAAAAAAGACAACCTTTGGCATTGTTTAACAGAGACATTACAGCACTACCAAACATATACACATTTAAATATGCACAAAAACTCAGCTCTGTACACAAACTCACAGCCTCATTTTATTCCTAGTGTTTAATAGCATACTGTCTATTGCATAAATATAGACAAACACCCATGTGACGCATTTACTAATGCAATGACAGTTTTGTTTCCTATGAAACTGACATCATACTTTTGTTTTTTACCACAACTCTATAAATGCACAGGGGAATTCTATCATCTTGAATATAACTCTTGTAGGCGTTTTTTTTTAATAGTGCATCCGGAAAACAAATCACAAGACAGTCTCACAGGAATGTAAGTAAGATTCTGACAATGGATGGCACTCATGTGACCTGTGACGGGACACTGACATGCAACACTTGTCTTTAATTAAACATTTGTAGAAGAACAAACAGCAGTAAAGCAAGCTGTCATGTGACCTGTTAAGGGGTCTTGCTGTGTTACCTGATCTTGTCACAACATCTCAAGTACAGTGCCTATGTCTAATATAATTTTAATGTTAAAAAATGTACTTTATTAGTTTAATTTAATTTTATATGTTGTATTTATTTAGTTACAAATGACTAATGTATTATCAAAAATCCAAATAATTGCTTCAGTTTTGCACAAGACAGTAAGGTCACAGAAACTATGTATAATATTCATCACACTGCTTCACCAAAATGACCTCTTCCACTATATTCAGATCACGCTGGTTGTGCCCCAGTGACTGTCCATTATACATTTACACTTCATGTCACTGCGCACACACACACACACACACACACACACACACACACACACAACACACACACACACACACACTGTACAGGCCCAGGGTGTGTTTACTAAGCCTGCAGCCAGCCTTTTGACCACACATGGCTGTGCAGTGAGCAGCCGAGCTACACTGAGGCCAACAATACTAACCATGTACAACTCTCAATAAATAGAAGCTTTGAAGGTGGCTGCTGGGAGAGGTGCATGCTGGGATACCTGGCGTCCCCACCGGAGGCGGCGGTGGTGGCATGTGGAGTAGTTTGGGACCAGTGGAGAGAAGTGGTGGTCTTAAGAGTTTGGGGGAGACATTTCATGGGGGTGTTTTTATAGAAGCAGACGTGTCACCAGACTGGAGCCACAGGACACACTAGCAGCAGTCATTGGAGAGCAGAGAAAGTACATTTGGTTGGTGTTTAGAGGCAGACTGAGTCAGAGAGAGTCAGAGGATAAAATACATTTACTAGATGCTTAACTAATCCAGAAAAATCCTAAAGAAATTGTGAAGGGGGATGTGTGTAGCTGGAGAAAAGGGGGGATAATTAGCCTCTCTGCAGGTCGTCATAAATGAACCTTGTTCTCTGGCCTCTGGGCCCACAGTGGCTGTGTGTTCACAGGCAGTATATGGCCAGGTATTTCTATCCTTCCCCCCTGCTTTTCCTTTCACTTGTTGCAGAATGGCTAGAAATGAAAACCAGCACTAATGGTGGAACAAGAGAGATATCTGAGGTCTAGATGAATCTGGGGAAAATTCCAGTGAACTAATATGTGGTGGCAGGGATGAAGATGTGCATTAACACTGTGCGCAGAAACATAATTCAAACACACCAAAGGAGGACATATTGGATCCTGCCTACAACTGAGTCAGATTAGACACTTTGAAGGAATATTTTAGAAATACAGTTGTGTTTTGAGCCAAATGCTAACATTAGCATGCTAACACACTCTTACTGACTATGCTGATATTTAACATGTTCACACTATCTGAGTTCACTAGCATGCTAACATCTGCAAATTAGCACTACAGTACAGTAGTCATGTATTTACTGTATCTTTTCATCCTATTAAGCCACACTGCTAGTATGACAAAACACAAGAAGTTTTACATAGTCAGAAGCAGTGACTAACCAGCAGTAGTCTGCTTCATAACCTGTCATAAAATTGCAACTTCTCATTTTTACAGTAGGCGGTTCACCCTTGTTGTCAGTCAACATGCTAAGCTAAGCTAATCATCTCCAGCTGCATATTTAACAGAGACATTACAGTAGTTTTGATCTTTGTCCTTTGCAAGGCAGCAAATAAGCTTATTTCCAAAATGTTGAACTGTTCCTTTAACAGTGTCTCAGTCCAGAATTAGACCACCATCATCAAGCAGTGGAAAGAATAAGCTGATCTTTTATGTGTAAAAATAAATAGTAGTGGTTTTGACAGAAGGACAGACAGAGAGAAAGGAGGACAGACAAAGATGGGAAGATCTTAAGCTCAGGCTCTGAGGGACCCACATGTTGCTGAAAATGTTACTTTTTCCAGCATTAGGACCGCCAGTTGTCTTTGGCTGCAGTCGTCCAGACAGGCTTTTGGTTCAGTGTGACTAAAGTGACATCAGTGTTTTCAGACTGTGTGTTTTGTTTGGCTTTCAGTTCTTCACTCATCTCTCCTTATGACCCCAGAACTCAATTTCCCGTAACAAGTTCAGCATAAATCCAGGGGACTTGAGGACTTGATGTGAGTTTAATGTTAGAGTTCATAAATGGCACAGTGTCACAGTCACATAAAGAGAAGACAATAAATGTAACATGTTGAGTTACTTCGTTGAGTGTTGTCTGCTGCAGAAGAGCGTAACATGTCAGCTCGACACACAAACCCTCGGTCTTATGCACAGTGCAATCGGTATTACACATCTGGGCTTGGAGACACAGGTCTAAACAAGGTCTGAAATTTGACGTAGACAAACCCACAGGTTCACACCAGTGGCCAAACCCTTCCTTTTTGTTGACTAAGATGTTTTCAGATAGTTTTTGTGCTGTTTCTGGCATGTCTGACTAAGACTTGTCTGAGCAGCTGAGAAACTCACAAAAAAGTAAAAGAAGAAACTAAATAATAAGCACATGCTGCAAAACCCCTAATAAGTGTCTAGTATAAAATAAAAGCCTCATATGGTGACTGTTATTGTTGCCAAGTCATTTTTCAATTAGCATGTTGTACAATGTATATTCAACATAGCAGCAAAGATAAAGTTTGCTTTTCAAGGTTTATTTTTCTGTTGAGTTGAAAATAGTTGAGGTAAAAATAGTCCTTAATATTGTACATTTTATCTGATTATTCAATTTTTTAAGCAGATCCAATTTGTTATTCCAAATGAATTATAAAATTTGTATAACGGTATATGCACTATATGTACATCAGTGTCCTGTTCATCTTTTGCTGTTTTTTTCTGGAGAATATTATGAATGCATTGATATTTCTTTGCATTATTTGTAGTAAAAAATACATTCTAAAATAGTGTGGAATCAGTAAAATATGCCGTCCACCTATTCATTGGTAGAGGAAACTGTCCACCTATAATTATGTCCTCAAGTCTCTTAACTTTAAGTCATCTATAATCTGTTTTAAGGAGCCAGCTGTGGTTCGATTTGTCCAAAAGTAAAGCAAATATTTCTCCCTCCAACAAACAAGGGTTTGATCAATACCTAAAATATTAACCATCACTTTCATTCTTTTCTCCCTGCCTTCCTCTCTTACAGGCTTGGCTGCAGAAGTACGGCTACCTGCCTCCAGGTGATGTCAGAGCCCAGGCCATCCGCTCACCAAAGTCCATTGAAACAGCGATAGCAGCCATGCAGAGATTTTATGGTTTGACTGTCACTGGCACCATAGACACCAACACGTTAGAGTGAGTCCTGATAAAAATCTATAAAATTTTAAATATGTGGATGAACAAACAATCACAAGTCTGGAGATCATTTTATGTCTTGATGAACAATTCCTTATATGCTTGTAGTTCACAAGAGTATAAAAAGGCAGGGTTCCCATTTACAAAACATTTGTCCTTCAAAGGAGTCCAAATATTTTATACAGTTGAAAACTGGGAATTTTCTGTTGCTGTTGCCAGGGCGATGAGCCGGCCACGATGCGGTGTCCCAGACAAGTTTGGCCCCCAGCTGAAAACTAACCTGAGGAGGAAGAGATACGCCTTGCAGGGACTGAAGTGGGACAAATCTGAGGTGACCTTCAGGTCAGAATACACACCAACTACATCTGATACTTTATTTTTAATACTAGTTTTACATACAAATCTAATTTATTGTGCTTTATTGTACTTGAATAGAATTTAGGGTTGCAACTGATGATTTTCATTATTGATTAATATGCCCATCACAGATTACTAGAGCTCAAGTTGACATATTCAAATTGTTTGTCTTATATGACCAACCAAAACCCAAATATATTTTGGTTACTATCATAGGAGATTCAGAACGTCAGAAGTTGGAGCCACTGAATCTGTGGCATTTTCACTTAAACATGAATTCTGAGTAACTGTTGAACAGAATGTCTTGACTCATAAATGGTCTGAGATTTGCTTTATTCTACTTTGAAGACAAATACTTGATTCTTCATTTTTAACTGGAAGACTAAATACCGCATCTTCCTGTTTGATATGCTCTGCTAAAGCCATCTATTGTGAAAAGCTATTGTTCTATTTTATTGTTTCGAAAAGCAGCCAACAAATATTAACTTCCTTCATGTGTTTTATCTGGAGTCAACTGTGTCTATCCAGGCCCTAAATCGCATTCTTTTGATTCTTTATAACAGCATACAGAACTATACTCCTAAAGTTGGCGAACGCGCCACTTTCGAAGCCATCCGAAAGGCCTTCAGGGTGTGGGAGAGTGTGGTCCCACTCACCTTCAGAGAGATCCCCTACAGCCAAATCAGTGGCAAGGTCAACAAGTTTGCAGACATCATGCTCTTCTTTGCAGACGGTTTCCACGGTGACAGCACGCCGTTTGACGGCGAGGGTGGCTTCCTGGCTCATGCTTACTTCCCCGGTCACGGCATCGGGGGAGACACGCACTTTGACCTCGCTGAGCCCTGGACCACTGGGAATGTTGACCAAGGAGGTAAGAGAAAGAAGGGTAAATGATGAAAAGTAGGTCCTGGAAGAAACCAAAACCAAACTCTACTTTTCTCTTTCTCTCACTGAAGGTAATGATATTTTCCTGGTAGCCGTCCATGAGTTGGGTCATGCTCTGGGTCTGGAGCACTCCAATGACCCCTTTGCCATCATGGCCCCCTTCTACCAGTGGTTTGACACTGAGAACTTTCAGCTCCCTGATGACGACCGCAGAGGAATCCAGGCGATCTATGGTGGGTTGTTCTTCTAGATTCTAGAAGAAATGGAAATGTATCGGTGAACAGCTGTTTGCAGTGACGTTTCCTTTGAAAGCCAGTTAATGCTATACCCACCTCAAAACGGTCTTGTGACATTGTTTAGTAGAATATAGAACATTCTCAGACTAATACTAATATGAAATGTTACATGATTATGAACATGAAATATTTGTGTTATTAGAGACCACATTATTTCCACAGGAATCAAGTCTTGGGCGCCCCCTCCTCCCCCTCGACCCACAAAGCCCTTCCACCCCGACAGGCCAGATCATGGCCCAGACATCTGTGAGGGACACTTTGACACCATCGCCATCCTCAGAGGGGAAAAGTTTGTGTTTAAGGTGCAACATCTGTTACTTAGGAGAAGATTAAAATGTTCTTAGAGGCTAAGCAAAGAAGATCAGATCAAGGTCAAGAATCTTTATTGTCACTATGCACAGCACAATAAAATATTTTCCGGCTGATCTTGGCTTAAAAGACACATTATTTACATAACACATCAGTACCACCTATCTGTTCGATATGAGGCTATCGTTAGCAGACACCTTGGCTTAATACAAAGACTGGAGACAGGTGAAACAGCTAGCCCTGGCTGTGTCCAGACATCAGGCACATACCCCTGTAATACCACAATAATTATTGGGTTTTAGAGGACAAAGCCCCTGTTTCCAGGCTTTATGCTAAGCTAATGTGCTATGTAATATGTCAGCATTTTCAGGATAATCAATTAATATGCATCAGACAAATAGTGATTATTCTCATTATTTAATCTCGGTGGATTTTTGATTAATCAGTTAAATAGTTATCCTAACCACTAATATCCTTTATTTCAGACAAATCTGGTAAAAACAGTCTTGGAATAAATCTTTAAATACTTTCTGTTGCCATTCTCATATTAATCTGTGTGTGTTTACAGGACAAGTGGTTTTGGCGAGTGCGTAACAACAAGGTGCTGCCAGGTTACCCGATGCCCATTGGTCACTTCTGGAGGGGCCTTCCTTCAAACATCAACGCCGCATATGAGAGGAAAGATGGGAAATTTGTCTTCCTCAAGGGTAATTAAATCTGAGATTAGATTTGGGATGATTACTGTGTGTTCCGGCAGCTACTCAAGTGATGATTTTCATGTGTTAACTATTCGTGACTGCTTCTCTTTAATGCCTTTCTTGCTCTGAACTTTCCTCTTTCTGTTTTCAGTTTCATCATTGTTTTTTTTCTTCCATCTCTAGGTGACAGGTACTGGATTTTCAGTGAGTCAAGCATGGACAAGGACTCCCCCAAGAGCCTGGCAGACCTGGGTACCGGCCTACCCACAGACAAGCTTGATGCTGCTCTCTTATACACACCAACAGGACAGACGTACTTCTTCAAAGGAAACAAGTGAGTCTGTCCATTTTACATAATGTACTTGAGGAAGCGATTTCTTTTTCCTCTTAGGCCACCAAAAGTTTCACAGCCTCCTGGCCTTGCATTCATGCATAGATTGAACATCCTTCATTTTTCCCAAAGTGTTAATACTTTGTGTGTAGTAGCAGCTGCAGTAACTTGCTGAATACCATGCGTATCTGTGAGCCTGTTGAAGGTAGCGCCCAACATTTCATTCCTCTGACTCACACCCTGTAGCTATCTGTAATCCAAATGCAAACTGTCCTGAGAATCACTTCTAACACCTAATTTTTCTTTTCTGCTTTCATTTAGATAGTTACTAGTAGAGAAGAGTAGGTAGAGGAGGAGGAGGAGGAGGGATGGTGTTCAGCAAACTGTGGATAATATCATTACATTGTGAGCATTTTAAATACCCAGACATAGCATAGGTTTTTTTAAAGACAAATAATAAATGTTGAGGCCATGAATTTCCCAGGCTCTTCCCCCTTTCTGACAAGCCTCTAAAGAGTCATGTATTTTTTCACGTTTTATTTAAACACTGCAATGCTAAACCTGTGGAGTAAACAACAACGAAGACAGTGGTAGCTACATCCCTGGAGCTGTTGTATAAATTAACCAAGAAATAATTTCTTCTGTCTTTAATATTATCCTTTGTGTGATATTTGCAGGTACTACCGGTTCAACGAGCAGACTCGCACCGTGGACAGTGGATATCCAAAACCCATCACCATGTGGAGCGGCGCACCAGACAACATCAAAGCTGCCATCATGAGTGAAGATGGATGTAAGTTGTCCTCCCTATTAAACTGTTTTAAAGTACCACTGAGAAAAAAAAAACTCCTGAAACTAACTTCTGATATCTTCATCTTTCTGTAATCCACAGCTTACACTTATTTCTACAAAGCAAACAAGTACTGGAAGTTCAACAACCAGTACATGAAGGTGGAGTCTGGCTACCCCAAGTCTGTGCTCACTGACTGGATGGGCTGCGAAGGCGAGGAGCCTAAGAAGGCTCGGGACGAGGAGGTGACATTGGAGAGCAGTGCCGGGCCAGCAGCCGTGGTGATCCCTCTCCTCCTATTGGTGCTGGTGCTGGTCACTCTGGGAGTGCTTTTGTTCTTCAGGAAGTACGGCACGCCTCGGCGCCTCCTCTACTGCCAGAGATCCCTCCTGGACAAGGTGTAGACAGAGCGACAGGAGACTGACAGACTGCCACAGAGAGAAGGAGAGAGGGGGAGAGAGAACGAGGACTGAGTGAAACCGAGCAAAGTGAAAGAGGAGGAGAGATCAACTGGAGAAAAGACAGGAGAACTGGGGGACAGAAAGGGGGATGACTGTATGTGCCACAAAGGACAGAGAAGAGAGACAGGCTCTGAAATCAGGAAAATGTGTATTTGTATGTTAATTATTTACATGTGCTGTTCTATGTTCAGAGATTAAGAACATACCCACAATCTGACAAAGAGGAGGGGAATATACAAAGACTCATCAACGCCAACGACTTCCTTCCTGCCTCTCCTCTCTCACATCCCTCCTTCCTTTCTCTACTTTAACTGGACGACTCCAGCTGAACTGCTGTCTGATTCATTCGTCTCACCACCGGAAACTCGGGGTGTTACTCACAAATTCGTCATCTCTGTTTAAGCGTTTTTGCTCTGGAATATATTTACTGTTAAATCTGTTTGGTGAGGAGTTTTACTCTTAAAGTAGTTTTCTTAAATCCAGTAGTTTGAAGTTCAGCCTCTTGTATTTGTTGGATTATTTTGTACCACTAAGCAGCGTTGGGTATCGAACCTCAGACTCCTTTAGTTCTCCCAGAAATAAATCCACAGCACCAGGGTAACCTAGTCAGATTGCTAATCTCCTTCTTCGATTTGATTATTCCAAATTTAAATCCCAATTTTGCTCATTTTAGATCATTTTATTAAGGCAAAGTGCTGTTGCTTGTGTTTAGGCAACATTTAATACTACAGAATTCTGTCCCATCTGCTAAATGCTGTGTTATTGGATGGATTTGATAGAGTTGAGTCTGCTGAGCATAGTGTTAAGATCAATTGAGGTAGACTTCACACATCACGGATTTATTAATTGTGTCTGCTCAACCAACTTAACGTAAGAGTGCTGGATGCTGTTCCCCCTCGATTGTCAAAGCTGCACCCCCTGTCACAGTGTCTAAAGCCAAATATGGTCCTTCTGGTACAAAGACAAGATTTTATTTATGTCGGCTGTAGAATGTAACTGCAACTTCAGACACTCACACTTGCAGCCAAAACTCCTCATTCAGTGCAAGCAGTCAGACGGGAAGTTTTTTTTCCAGTTGATTTGTTGTTGAATACAAGCAGAGCTGCTTGTGCAAATGCTTCAACAAATTTGGTGCAATTTTAATTATTATTGTTGTTATTATAAATATGGTTATTGTTATTATTGTTCTCCTGGTATAGTTATAATAATGTTTCTTCTTTTGCTTTTGTGCATTGTCATTTGGAGTCCTGCTGGACAGAGGCATAACGTGACAATGATGGAAATACATCCCAGTTTACATTCAAGTGGTGAATTAGATCGGTTCTTTTAGCTCTGAAACACCTGACATTACAATGCTATTTAAGAACTTTTACACAGATGGTGCTCAATGATTTTTTTTTTTTTTACACACATCAAAATTGAAGTGAATTGATTTAGTTAATAACAATGATAATGGTAATGATATTTATAATGATGATCATATTAAAAATGATTTTTTTCCTGCTTGTTTTCACTTTTGTATTTCAGTAGATAAAGTGAAATTAAACTATTTTCTACAAACGATCTTTTTATTTATGCATTCATAGTCTTCTCACCAGTGTCTTCATACACTTTCACGCTATAAGCTAAACACAACATTAAATGCAACCACATTTCTGAAACTGAATTTTAGCCTCCTATTATTTAGTATTTATAAGCACTGCATAGTTGTAAGGACATTTTAAGTGTTTATTCATTTATAATATTGCTTATGATGGGGTGCCACCTACTGAATTTGTAGAACTAGCTGTATTCTCAGGATAGAATAAGTTTTCTGATATGAAAAACATGAAAGCAACTTGGGATGTTTTCATTTTTCACATAAGCTGAAGAACAGTCACTATGAGGAAAACATGGTGTTTTGTTTTTAAAAGGTTGACATTTTGCTGAACAGGCCTAAAATTACTAAATTTATGTTGTAATCTTCACCAGTGACTACTGTGGTAGTTAGTGTCCAGAAACTGTTTTTGGCTGAGTATGATATGATGCAAGACATGTACCAGCTGACATCATATTGAACCATGGCAACTATAAGCATTTCTAAAAACTGAAAAATCTCCTGACTCGTGTTCAAATGTTCATGGAGGCAAAACATGTTTATAAAGCAGTTTGCTTGGGATGACTTCATCATCAGCCTCAAGGTCAACATCTGCAGATCAACATCTGTAACTTTTTCCACTTTTTTTTTTCTTTTTGTTGTTATGGTCCTTGACTTCTCTCCCTCCAATATGTGCAGCTCTGGAGGCTACTAATGTCCTTCAACACTGGACTTTAAAAATCAAGTCATTTGACATTTTACAGTTACTTTGTGTGGCTTCATTGTTTATTGTTTAATTCAGATCCCCATTAGTTATTACCTTGACAACAACTATTGTTCCTACAACAGCACATAAGACATAATACTTATTAAAAACAGTATTAACATCAAACATGCCACAAGAAAACCTTTGCTCGTATGAATATCCACGTTTTAAATAAAGAAAAAAAAACATTTTCATTGGCATGCCTGAATTTAAGACAAAATGCTCTAGTTGCTTTTCAAAATGTTGTTGAATCTTGAGATATAATGTCAGACTTTTCAGGTGAAACAACATTTTTCTTTTTCACCGATCTGGTCTCCGATTGAGGTTGTGCACTGTGTCCTACTAACACGCCCTGCTGCAA